AGAAATCATATTAAATCCAAATCTAAATGCACAATGAAATCTTCGTTGCAATCTGCACTGGGAGTATTCTCTCCCTATAAATCAGCCCGCTAACCCAGATCATTTATTAAAGATGCAGTGTATTTCATATCTGCAGAGTATATCACATAACTTCCTGGCAAGAGTAATTGCATTTCTGGTAACTTAAAATTCCTTGTGGAAGTTTAAATACCCTTATCAAGCAAACAAACAGCAGCAGTAATCACAGTTTCACTGCTGTAAAGTCTAAGTTTAGTCACTCTTAATTCATTTCCTATAGTCCTTATTACAGTATAAGTCAATTTCAAATCATATATTGCTTTTAATGGTATTTCAACATTTGAAACCCCTGACAGGAAATTTGACAAATTCCATCTTAGTAAACCTCAATTCCCTTGGTAAAACCTCTCAAATAATTCAGCAGTTTATTAAAATAAAAACCACTAAAGAACATATTGGGAGCTAAAAGAAAATCGGACAAAGACTAAAGCCATATCTAGAAAGAATCTAAGTCTTTTGTTAATATTGTGCAGCTTTAAATAGTTTACTTTGTTAGCATTTTGTGTCTCTTCGCTTGTTCTAAAGCCAAGTTTTTTACTGCTATGAAATATTAAAGAACCAAAGATCAGAAATTAAATGTACTAAATTGGACTTGGAAATGAAAACGGGCAACCACCAATGTTAGAGCCACAAAGGGTAACCACATCTATTTTAATTTTCCCTGATTAACACCGGTGTGGTTTTAGATTACATATTCTTGTGATGCAAACGTCAAGTGAAGGTGTCAATATGGACCGTAGAAATTTCAATGGTGAGGGTGGGGAGGAACAAAAACCAAGAACCTAACTATTAACATTAATCAGAGTTTTCTTAGATTAGTCAAATTAGGTTAAAAAAATGCACTCAATTCATCCTGGATTTTACAAGTGACCCTGCTCTAGCTCTTCCTAATTACAATACTCAAAGGTTTTAAGAGTCATCAGTATTTCTAGAGACACAATTTTAATGTTCCTCAGTACTAGCTTGTTGGTGGCTAGCACAGAAAAGATATAAATTTCTATCAAGCTGTTTTGAAAAAAATTACCTCTTAAAGATTACTTTAGTACAAAGAACATAATACTGGGAATACTCCTAACTAAAGAGGATACTTTTAATAAAGATAATAACTTAATAGGATGAAACTTCCAAATCTATAAACACAAAATGTCAAACAGGCTATATATGTGTTTACACCCATGTATTATTCTATTGCCATATATCCTTAAATTCACTACTCATACAAACACTGACAGAAGTGATAAACACTCATTCTAATACTACCAAAAAAACTTCAGCGCATCAGCAAAGAGTCTGTACAATCATTACAACAATTATTCAGACAAGTTGTTTCTCCATTAATGTGGGTATTAACTGAATAAAAAGTTGCCCCAGACAGAAAATACTTCAGTTAACAAACCTCCTGCAATCACAGTAGAACTAACTAATCTTAAAAACACAAAACCACACACACTTTGGGTAATGGCCTCAAGAACATGGAATGCTCTTGGTGAGTTAGAACTTCACCATTCATCCTACTGATAACCTTCAAAAGATCAATCAATGCAGATCACAATAGTTATGTGTAAAACAGAAGGAGCTTCTTTCTGACCCCAGTTGAATATAATTTTTAAAAAATCAAATTTGTTAAAGAGGTTCAGCTATCCTTCAGAAATAAGAGTATATTAACACTACAGAAAAATTAAAGGCATTAATAAACTTATAAACTTTCACAACATTCTTTATTAAACACTACTAAGAGCTTGAATCTAAAATAGCTATGTTTGAAATCTACAAACATTCTCTGTATATGCACAACTGGAAACACTTAGAAATCTACATTGTTTTAGGCAAATTCCAGCTGACTAAAAATGGGTTGAACTTCAGTCACATGATAAATAAATCCCCTTTCTTAAAACACAACTTCAAAAACGTCAGGATATGATTTAGTTAAAAATGCAATACTTCTTATTTTGTGACAGAGAAAAGAATTCATCTGTTTTGTCTCCTACCATTTCAAAGAACAATTAAAGTGAATTCTCTACTTATCTATAGCTCTTGTCTCATTTGAAGAGCTGGTCCATTTAAATCTTCCAAGGGGTAAAAGTAGAAAGCAAAATGAATGTGTCTACCCAGTGTCCTAGAGTTAGATCAATATCTTATTTTATGTTAAGTAGTACTAAAATTTATCCTTATATAGCAATACAAGTTACCTAGTTTTCCTTCCAGGAAAGCAAGCACAAGAGTGATGAGCTGATCTCGTAATATTATTTATGATTATTGTTATATGAGAAGGACGAATTATTTCCTTAGAAGTACTGCTGGCTATTAAATTAGACCATTTTTAAAACATGAGACTGTATGCAGGGGAGCTGTTTAAAACAAACAAAAAAGCCTACCACCACATATACATAAAAAAGCTTACAGTATTAAGCCAAGCTGCAACAAACACGTCCAAAAAATGTTTCACTTATGTTTTTTAGTCCAATAAATTAAAATCTAAAAAATTTAGTTTCATTTTTCCCAATCTGCTTTTAATTAGAGTGTGCATGCCCGTGTGTATGTCTGACAAGGTAGAACTGACAGGAACTGTGATTTGTGCTAACTAGCTATTGATCCAGTCAGACCTAGATGTTGTGTACAAGAAACAATAAAAGAGAAGGGGCCAGGAAGGATGCTATGTGCAACTCCATTTAAAAATGGAAAGAAGGGCCCCAAACAAACCAATTTATGTCCTTGCCTGGGAGAGGCATGGAGAATGCTGATGGGCTTCCTAGAGTCTGCTGTGCATGCTAAACACTCCAGCTTCAAATGAGAGTCTCCAGTGCTGGGCATTAAACATGAACAAAGAGACAAACAGTGGGGGCTAGCATTCATGCATCAGAAAACGAAAGCTAGAAAGCCCACCAGAACTGGAAGTAGAAAGTTATGGAGTTTTCAAAGCATCCAAGAGCCCTTTTCGTAACACCTATCTTTACATAAAAGCA